AGTGAGTCTGATAGTGAACAAATCACATCATGTTGTGTAGACCAGCTGAAAAGACATAGATGTAAAAAACAAAAAAACTAGTAAAAAGAAATGGAAAGAAGAGAAAACTATTTAATGAAAAAATCCTTAATCAACAACATTCAAATGTTTCAAATGCTTTTCAAGGCAAATTGAATGTAGCGCTGTTCCATTTCACATTCAAATGAATAGATCAAATAGCTCACTCCATTGACTCTGACTTAATAACCCAGCAGGGATGACGTTTGAAAGCCAGTCACAAGGGAAGCCCTGTGACCGGAGCCCGAGCACCACATCACTGTATCTCCCACACACCACCTCTCCGAAAATCAATAGAGCAATATCAGAATATACCAGTGACAAATTGATTTTATCCAGGACAAGTTCTACCCCCAAGGACTTCAGCTGTGGCAGCAATGCCGACAAGCCGGTTTGATCAGATTCGGGATTAGACCCAGAGCAGTTAATAGCCTTTATTCACTTAGATATAATTTATGGATGGTATTGATCACTTTACACATCTCTGGAGAACTGCTATGAGAGGAATGACATGATAATGTGACAGGGGATCAAAAGGCTCATAATGTTAAGGTCTGACAAGCTGATAGTCCTCGACAGAGAGCGAGAGAGATGTTGCTGGGCTCTGTTCCAGCTTTGATCTGTCTCAGGGTTACAGGGCGCTGACTATGTTCAACATTTAGAAAACCAGTGTTGGGAGTAAGTCCCTAAAAATAGCTACAAACTAACTTAGCTGTTGCCTAAAAGTGTAATCATTCCAATAACAGCAAGTAGTGGCAAATTTTGATAAAACGAGGAGCCCTGCAACAGAGCGAGCTATGAAATAATCAAACACACTCAGATACTATTAAAGGAGACATATTATGCCCCTTTTTACAATATGTAATGTAAGTCTCTGGTGTCCCCAGAATGTGTCTGTGAAGTTTCAGCTCAAAATACTCCACAGATAATTTATTATATCATTTTGAAAATGCCTATATTGAGTGGCAGCAGAAACACGCTGTTTTTCGGGCCTGGCTCTTTAAATGCAAATGAGCTGCTGCTCCACGCCCCCTTTTCCAGAATAGAGCTGCGCCATTACAGCTCAGACCTGCTAAAAACATCTGTTTTCAATATACAGTAAATAAATCAATAAATGCACTACTCTCTTGTCTCCTCTGAGGCTGGGACTGTAAATAGTCTTCTGTGCTCGTCTGTGCGGCTAAAGACAGAACAGTTAGCATGTTTTGCTCAAACTTTCACCATGGCATTAGAGCTGGTACTGATTCATTTTAGCAAGTCGGTTCACTTTAGGGGTGAATCACTTTAAGGTTTATGATTTTTGGGTGAACTAACCCTTTATATGGAACTCAAAAGCTTCCTTAACACTGTGGAAGACACATGCACTTTCTTCAAGCCCCTTGCTATACTCCTCAATGAAAGCAAGAGAAAGATACAGTTAAAGGTAAGAAGGCAGCAACAGTAGATTTCACAAAGAAAACTGGATGAACAAGAAAAGAATGAATGTAGGTAAAGAAAGAGACGGATGAGAGAGACAGAGTAAATGAGCGAGCAGAGCTTCTGTGTTGTCTCCTTCCCTGTGGGCATGGCTGGGATTTCAAACGTTGCTTGACTCCACTGCTGTTCCCTGTTAGTCTGCCTAAGACAGGAGATCACGCTCCTCTGGGAGAACCTGGTCTCCTGGACGTTTCTAAACACTGTCATCTTCCAAAAATACAGCACGAAATGCAGCACAGTTAGGCTGTAAGTGATGTCAGCATTACAATGTTGCATTTGGGTTATGTACGCTGCATCCAGTGGACTCTAGAAGAGGGACTGGGTAAGTGGAACAATACAAGCAGCTTACATTATTTACCCGGTCTGCTATGCCACGTCTCTCTCTCTGCTCTATTTCCTTTGCCTAGTCACAGCAAGTGGATGAAGATGTTTCGTGGACCAGAAACATTGGTCCATAAGAGTGAGATGGTGTTCCTGAACAATTTATGCACGCTGGGTTAACTATCTAGCCAGATTTCACATCACAATCAGCCCTTTATCAGTGATACAGACTTATTCAAATTAAAGCAAAAACAAACAAAATTTTGAGGTGTAGAATCCATTATGTTTACAATGTCGCTCTTTATTCATTCATCTGCCACAGATTACAAAAAGATAGTACTGCCTCTAAAAATATACAATTTAGCCATCACTTTTCAAGGAATCAAACTAAATATGACTTGTAGTCAACTCTGCATATTAAGCTGGGATAAATTATAAATTTACAAGCATTTGGAAGACACTATTATGCAAAGCATTTTGCATTGCATTCAAAATATATATATATATATTTTTTATAATTTATGGTCATCCTCTATTGTAATCTACAGAAAAATACAGTTCAAAAGTTCAGGGGCCTGTATTTTTAAGAAATTAATACTTTTATTCAGCAAAGATGCTTTAAATTGATTAAAAGTGACAGTAAAGACTTTGACATTGTTAAACATCTATTTTGAAATCAATGCTGTGCTTTTGTACTTTCCTTTCATCAAAGAATGCTGAAAAAATTTATCAATCTCTATAAAAATATTAAGCACCATAACGGTTTTTAACTGCTGAAAATTCAGCAATATTTTAGATTCAGGAATTTTTATCTACCCCCCAGCCCCATCCCACTTTCTTTAATGTGTAAGTTATTCAACAAGGTCATGGGTTTGATTCCATGTGATAACACAAACTGATAAAATGTATACTATAATGCTACTTTGCAAACCATTTTAGATATAAAAATGAATAAATGACAATGGCCTTGATAGTTTTTTATATTGGGCTAAAAAAGTGACACTGCCCACAATTCTGAGCCCAACAGCATCCTGGTTACTCGCACTGAAGGCTGACGGGTAATCACCACTGTTTTGATCTTACACAGTTCTGTTACGTTTCCAAAGTTTTGCCATAATAAACGGACAGACAATGCTCACCACTCCCAGCAACTATTAAAGTCTGTGTCACCATGGAAGTGTCTGGAGGAACAGCTAAGGAGAAACATACCACTTGTCATTAGTCAAAGAAGACAAAAGCCGCACATAGTAAATGTCATGCCAATGCACTTATACTAGTTTTTTTTAGCCAATCAGAAGGAAGCGAAGCTGTTGTGTAACAGCAATAATCAGGTATTGTGAGGAAGAAACATTTCCAACCAGCCCTGGCAGTGAAGCAGAAAGTACAGAGACACTTACAAAAACATCAAAACCCCCAACTCACCATCCTTATTATGAATTATGCAACATGCATCTGACAAATTAGACGTTAAACACTGTCATTTGTACATCATGTTTGTTTACTAGAACGTCAGACTCCACAGAGGTTTGCATTTGCTGTCTGTCTTAAGTTGGGCCTCATACTTTTTTAACCCTATGGTGAGGCATGCATTTAAATTTAGCTACTGATTCAAAAACCAATTGAAAAATCTCTGAATGAGTATATAATGCATGTATGACCTTGCAGTGAAATGAACAACATTTTAACACACTCTAACCGAACAATACTGAAGAATATTTAATAGGCAGCACGCAATAGGTATGGAACAAAGAGCAGGGCTGTTGAAAAGAGGTCCTTCACAGACAAACCGCACTAATTAGTGAATGAATGGAAAGGACGTTTACCCTCATGTCGTTATTTCTCATCTAAAAGGAAAATACATAATGCTTTCTTCTTTTAAGGATTATATATAATTCTGTTCTTTTTGACTGCGGCACAATTGTTTTCAACATTTATAATAAGAAATATTTTTGAAGTAACAAATCAGCATATTAGAATTATCTCTGAAGACTAGAGTAAAATTACACAAAAATATAACAATTTAAACTGTAAAAATATTTCACAATATTACTGGTTTCATGCAGCTTTTGGGATTTTGACATTAATTAAACATTTAAAATCATTGTTCAAATGTTTAGAGTCAGTAAGATTTTTTTCTAAAGAAATTCATCAAAAGTGACAAACAAACAAACAAATAAATACTGTTAAAGACTTTTGAATAAAAATTATCTCAGCATTACAGTTTTTTTCTGTTTCTTTGCAATTATTCTAAAAAGACATTAAAATATTTTAAAGACACCAATCAGTATTGTATACATTATTTGCAGTATTTAGAGAGTATTTATACATAGAAAACTGCCATAACTGCCAACATTTTGCTCACATTTTTGGGAAAGACACATTTCCAGAGTTGTCTTAAAGCAATTGCCACTGAAATATTCTTCAAATATTTTACAAATATGGCCTAAAGAAAGTCAAACTTTACTGTGCTACAGCAGACTTTACTGTACTAAGTAAACAGTATCCAATCAATGTTTAGCTCTTTCAGCCTTTGCTAGTTTATTAGCCTATTAGCTCCTGCAAAACTGACAGATCTAAGCTATAATAAAGACTTGGTTCATATGAGAGCAGTGCCATCATCAAACTGGTCAAGCTCCAGCGTTCCCCACCAAACCTCTCACTGAGTTTTATGGATCCAATTCCAGGTGCAGATATTTAGCAGTATTTCACTGCCAGCGTCGGCCCTCATCCATCCAGCAGCTCAAACACCAGCTAAGGCATTTCAGATGGAAGTTGTGAGGAATCAATTTAGTATGATATCCATATTCATGAATACTCCCCGTATATTTCCTGCGAGAGACATCGGAGAGCACTCACCAACTTCACAAAGGCCTCGGCCATTGAAATTTACTCTGTGTGCTTGTATATGACAGACACGCGTTCTCAGCAGTTATTGATGTCGTGATGAGTGATTCCAGAAGGGATCAATGTATTAAAATGGATTTCAAAGCAAATGACAAATCATCTTTAACAAAGACGTGATGATCAAAGCGATGCCATTTTTTGCACAATAAAGTACATTCACAAAGATGAGCAAGACAAGGACAGAGAAAAAAAAATGAACACACAGATCATGTGACCTGTGGACTCGTAGGCTCATATTGTACCTGTGAGGTTCTTAAGGCCAAGCTGACGGAGACCGAAGTTGCCGTCTCTGCGGTAGTTGAGGAAGATGGCCAGGGCGTAGCGGTCTTCATACAGTCTGGTGCCGCGGATGATGCGCAGATTCTCCAGGGGCAGATACTCAAACTGATTCAGCGCCACAAGCACATATCCTGTCACCTCACGAATGGACTGCAGACAGAATAAAGCACAAACATTAAAGGTCACATATTTTACACCTTTCTGGAGTTTTATTTTAGGTTTTGATGTCCTTAAGAATATATATTTGTGGTATAAGTACCAAAAACCATCTCAATATATTTTTACAGCTCCTCTCTCAGGAGCTCTGCTGAGAACAGGTAGATTTTGGCCTGTCTAATTAATATTCATGAGCCTCTCTTCTGACTGGCCTGTTGTTTTCTGAGTGACGCACGGTCAGGCCAACCAGAGGTAACTAGGTTCATGTATGCTGTAGCTTGCTGTGGATTAGTGATACTCACAAGTAAAGTCAATAGAAACACCGGTAATGATGGTCACTGCTGAGGGAAATGTTGTCCGGCCTTACATGTTTGAGCCGAACTCAGACCCCGAATCGGCGACGACAGGAGACAACCAACCACCTCCTCAAACGCGCTTACAACAGGATGTTTCAGAATGGTAATT